AGAATAACATTAATTAAAAGTGTCTTGTCAAGCTTACCAAATTATTACTTATCTTTGTTGAAAATACCAACTAAGGTAGCAGAGAGAACTGAGAAAATTCAGAGGGACTTCCTATGGGAGGGGGAAAGAAATTTCACTTGGTAAATTTGGTTAAGGTCCGTAAACCGAAAGAGAAGGGGGGACTGGGGCTGAGAAAAGTGAGAATGTTCAATAAGGCTCTAATGGGAAAGTGGCTTTGGAGATTTGGTTTAGGGAAAGAGGAAAACTCATTATGGAGGAGGGTGCTGGTTGGGAAGTATGGGGTGGTGAGGTTCGGCTGGGAATCTAGAGAGGTGAGTGATTCATATGGGGTGAGTGTGTGGAAGGGGATTATGAGTTTTAACAGGGAGTTTAGAAGTCTAATATGTTTTGCAGTACGGAAGGGATCAAGAATCAGGTTTTGGGATGACAATTGGTGTGGAATAGGCAAGTTGAGTGATCTATGCCCAACATTATATAGGCTGACTGAGGCAGAGGTATCTATCAGTCAATGTTATGAAAGAGGGGGGGGGGGGCGATTGGTATGGAGCCTGAAATTTCAGAGGCTTCTGCTGGATAGAGAAGTGGAAGAATGTATCTCTCTGCTGGGAGAATTGGAAAGAGTGAATCTCAGGGCAGCATTGATAAAAAAAAAAAAATCTCAGGGCAGCAGAGGGATGAACTTTGGTTGAAAGAATGTAAGAATTGGAAAATTTCAGTCAAATCATGCTATATGGCACTCAGCAGGTCCAACACAGACTCAAGTCAAATAAAAGGTATTTGGGGAAACCCAGTGCCCCTGAGAGTTGAAGCTTTGGCATGGCCGGTGGCAATGGGTAGCGTCTTGACAGTGGATCACCTGAAATCAAGAGGATTCCATTTGGCTAACAGGTGCTGTCTATGCAAAGAACAGAAGGAAAATGTGAGGCATCTATTTATCACCTGGAAGTTTGCTAGTTTTGTGTGGAGATTATTTACCACCATTTTCGGGGTCCCTGGTTTCCACCCAGTTTTAGCTGCAGAAATCTTTTCTTCATGGCCTAAACTGGGAGGAAGCAAGAAGGTGAAGCTGATGGAGCTGCACCCCTTTTTCTATTTTCTGGAACATATGGAAGGAGAGGAACTGAAGAACTTTCGAGGACAGAGCTCACAGTGTGGATAGGTTGATAGCTGCTGTTAGCAGATCTGTGGCAGACTGGGTCTTGATTCTCCCAGAGTTTAGGCAATTAGATAAGGAGGACCTGGGGAATAAGTTAGGGGAGGTTCTGGGTATTCAAATCTGTAATGCAGAAAACTCTTTCTGATTTTCAGATGTATTGTATTTGGGTGATGACTTGTCACCCATCAGATTGTACTACTCCTTTTTGTTTTTCTAATGATTTTTTACTTATAAAAAAAAGTCCTTTGTTTTTTTACTACAGTAAATAAGTTAGACAATTTGTTGCAGCTTTTTTCTTTTCTGAAAAAATAAAACTTACCCATGCTTTTGCAGCCACTGGGGGATGCTTATGGATTGCTCATGCATAGGAATGGTCAATGGGAGTGGACACTTGCACCTGGGGTGTCTCCTTCCCCAAGGTACGAACATGCTGCGGTAAGTGAAGGCTATATGGTTTCTATCATATTGTTACTCAATTTCATGGCTGTACAATTTCAAATGGAAGGTCTCCATTGGATATTTGACAGTCATCTGAAAATTGTAATTGTATTGTAAACTGTAGAGAATAAAAAAAAATCTAGAAACAATCAAGAATCATTAAAACAGAAATTAAACAACTGAGAAACGGAATTTAGGTAAATAACTGCTTCCCTTTCTTCTTCTTTATTTTAGATCTGCTATTTACCTCCTCAAGATCTGGTCTACTGTTAGGATGTAATACATTAGAAAATCAATACTTGTGAAACCCTTTAGAAAAGGAGGCCTAACTGGTGCCTGTCACCTCATATTTGCTTATTTGCATGGCAAGTGGTAATTGTATTGTAAACTGTAGGTAATACATTAGAAAATCAATACTTCTGAAAATTGTAATTGTATTGTAAACTGTAGAGAATAAAAAAAATCTAGAAACAATCAAGAATCATTAAAACAGAAATTAAACAACTGAGAAACGGAATTTAGGTAATTAACTGCTTCCCTTCTCTTTCTTTTTACTTTAGATCTGCTATTTACCTCCTCAAGATCTGGGTCTACTGTTAGGAGGTAATACATTAGAAAATCAATACTTGTGAAACCCTTTAGAAAAGGAGGCCTAACTGGTGCCTGTCACCTCATATTTGCTTATTTGCATGGCAAGCGGTAAACTGATCTTCACCGGCTAATCTCTTGCCTTTATGCTTTTGGTATTTGGGAGTTTTTCTTTGGCCTTTTTGGAGGCTGGTAGACATCTCCAAGGAACATGGGAAGTCTTTTTGAGCATGCCTTTTTGTTTCCAACCAAAAAAGAGGGACAATAATTATGGAGGCTCACATGGACTTCCATCCTTTAGTCAATTTGGGAAGAAAAGAATGTAAGAACCACTAGGAAGGAGGCACACATTAAAGTTGTATTTGGTTTGACAGAAAATATGGGCGAAATAGAAACTTGAGAGGAAGTTCTTAAGGGATTTGACAAAATTTGTTAAGAACTTTTCTTTCAACTTTCTGTTTCTCTCTATTTTCTGTCAAACCAAACATGGCCTAAAGAAAACTTTGATTGAGAACATCACAGTGAAGGGTGAACTTTTCTCCCCTTGGGTTAAATCAGTGCCCTTGTCTTCAGCTAGAAGCATTGCATCACTTACTTGGTCCCTGACACTAGTAAACCATATAAAACCGTACATTGATGGGTGCATCTTGGGAAACCCAGGTATTTCAGGTGTTGGGAGAATGTTTAAGAATCAAGGTGGGGCAATATTGGCTATCTATTCCTGACCTATTGGTCTAGGGAACTAAATCAAGGCTTACTTGCAATACTCATGGACTGAAGCTACGAAGATAACTCAAACTACAAAAATTTCATTGTGGGGGGGGGTGTCACTCACAGGGAAACAACATGTAATCATAAGAAGGGCTCCTAATGGGTTAGGCGGATGGGCTAGCCTAAACTGAACTGTGAGGTGCTTGGTACAATTTGTCTTGTATAGACTATATATTCTTTTTTACATATCAACGAAATTGCTATTGGGTTAGCAATAAGAAAGCTTCTTAAAATTGAACAAAAAATTGACAAAAGTACATAACTATTGTCCCAGTCAAACTGTTCCAAATTGCATGAGTCCGATAAACAGTAAGATTCATGAATTGAATAGTGGGTTTCAATCAATAATCTTAGTTTTTTTTTAAAGATTCCACTATAAGATTCAAATTAGGACCATTAAGATCATAATTCTGATTGTGAAATCATATTGTAAATAATAAGTTTTTGATAACTATGCCAATACTGCCTATTTCACAAATTTTTGAGTTTAGGATTATGCACATTGTACATGTTTTCAGATGGCTTATTGTTTTAAAAGTTAACTCCATTTTGTGTTTTTCTTGTTTTCTTATTTCAAGTAAAAAAGGCCATTACCCAATGTTGGTCTCAACTATTTGGGGTCTTGGGAGGGGTAGACTGGGTATGGTCCTAACCTTTTGACATTTTTCCACACAATGTGGCTGCCCTCAGCTGTTTGGTCTTAATTTACATTTTAACTTAGATAACAACAACAATAATATACTACTACTACTAATAGTAATAGCAATGATGATGATGATGATGATAATTAGTTTTTCTGGTTGGTAGGTTTTTGTTGGTGCTCGATTGCATGTGACAGGTGGTGCTTTGAGGGGAGGACGACCAGTAGAAGGTGAAGCATCTACTGCAGGTAATTTATGCTCTCTCTCTCTCTCTCACGCATAGACACACACACACACACACCCCTACATACAATGTAGTCAATCCATTACTACATAAGACAATTAGCCAATGATGGTCCTGGCTATCCGGGTCTTGGGAGGGGTAGTTGGATATGGACCTAAGTCCCCCTCCAAGCCGCCCCACCCCCCCCAACCCATACACACAAAGTGGATGCTCTCAGATTTGAACCTGTGTTCTCATGCTTGTCATTCCAAGATTTTACCTCTCTGCCAGGTAATGGCCCATTTATCAGTCCATTACTATGGAACTTAATTCATCTTATTTTATTTTGCTTGGAAGTCTTGGACACTGCTGCTGGAGTATGGCTGGATAGAAATGGGATTGTGACTTCATCCCGAACAAACAAGTCTCCCAATGAACATGATGCTTCATTGGAACTTATGCGCCGTTTCCGCCATGCATCTGCATCAATAGGAGTTCGAATATACATTTATGGAGGTCTCAGAGGAGGTAAACATGATGCAGCAACATATGCTTTATTTTCAAGTTTTTTAGATAACTGAAATGCTGGATATATGCTAAGCATGGAGTTGGAAAATAATAAATTTAAGCTGCAGTTATGAGATCACTTTCGTGCCCCACAGCACATCCCAACCATGTATTGGGAACATCTCCCAATGACAAGTACGGGACATGTTCCCAATGCACGCTGAGATGTGCATGTGGGGCGCCTGTGGGGTGCGCTCTGTGGGGGTGCAGATGTGAGCTCTGCAGTTATGACCTAGTCACTTTTTTCTTATCTCTCAATATGGGTTATCTTCTTCCCTGGTTTTTGTAGTCCTTTAATTTTGTATAATCTTATTAATTGAAGTCCAACAAAAAAGAAAGGAAGAGAAAGATTCACATTTCTCTACATGAACTCATAGATGCTATGTATGCATGTAATGTCTGTGAGTTGGATTCCTTGGAAAAGTTGTCCGGTTTACTGCACTAGAATCACTATGAAAATTACATTAAATGGCTAACCAGGGGGCTGGAAATCCAATTTCAGTGGGTTAAATTTCATTTGCAGATGATTTGGCAAAGCAGGGGGTGGGAAGGGATCAAATGTTTTGGGCTGTTCTGTAGGTTTTTTCTTTGTTGTCCTCTTGGAGAGAGTTAAGCCTTTTTATCTCTCTCTGGAGTGCTGTAACTAAAATTTTTTATTAATCTAATGGGTTCCTGTTATTGACAAAAAAATTACATTAATGACCTAAAATGACATAAGAACATGCAATTTTTTTTTGATAAGTAAAAAGATTGTATATTTATAGTTGCAAGAAGTAAACAATACAAGCATCCCATGGAGAGGCACGAGATGCTACCTCTCACTTAGACATTAGAAAAAAAACAGATATCTATTACAACTGAGCCCAATGCAAGCTGTCCCTGTTTACCCCTTGTTTAGCTAACCCATCTGCCATAGCATCAGCTGTTCTCCTAACCCAATTTATTCCCATGTTCATATTCCTGGTTAGCCATTTAAATTTCTTCATCTCACCCCTATAACACCGAATTATCGAGTCTGGATCTTTCAACCAACCAATCACCAGCTTTGAATCCCCTTCAATCTCCAAATTTGTCATGCCCAGTTCACTTGCAATCTGTACCCCTTTCAGAACATGCAAAGTTAGTGCATGCCATCCTCGTTTCTATACTATTATGGTGTTGACAGGTAATCCTCGTGTAATTCTCTTCTAGAAGGACAACTACTTATAAAGCAATTGAAGTAGAAATAATCCACCTGATGCAAATCTGGCATGCCATGTATATTATTATATTATTCTGTGACTTTGGAAACAAGAGGTTTCAAAATAAGACTAAAACAGAATATATGATATGCAAATTCAATAATAAAAGGAGTGCAAATCATGGTACACTAAGGATTGGAGACCAAGAGATAATGTGACCTTTTGCAGCACCTTGGTTCAACAATTCATAACAAGGGAGAGATTGATGAGGAAGCCACCCATAGAATTAGAGCAGGTCCAGCAGGATGGGAAAAATGGAGGAGTGCATCTGGAGTTTTATGTGATAGACAAATGCCACTTAAATTAAAAGGAAAATTCTATAAACAGTTGAAAGGCCAGCTATGCTGTATGGAGCAGAGTGTTGTTTAGTCAAGAAGCGACATGCCCAAAAATTGGGTGTGGCAGAATGCAAATGCTAAGATGGAGTGGAAAAACTAGAAAGGATAGGATTAGAAACAAAGTCATTTGTAGGAACACAGGAGTAGCACCAATAGGTGATAAAATGAGAGAAAGTAGACTTAGATGGTTTGGTAACATGCATGGAAGGTCATCAACAGCAGCTGTAAGAAGTTGATTTGTTGCAAGTTGAAGGGGCTACAAGGGCCTGGGGTACACCAAAAATGTACTTGGGTAGAAGTAGTAAAAAATAATTTAAGCGCCAATAGTTTAACAATGGATATGGATTTAAACAGAATAGATGGCAAAACAGGATTCATGTAGCTGACATTGCTGACCCAAATATAGTTGTGACAAGGCTTAGATGATGATGACATTTCCCAGAAAAAGTTTTTTGTATTTTATACTATAGATTTGAAATAATGTAAATTCTGTTTGAGATAAAAATAAACTTGAGCACAACATTGCTTTTTTTTTTGCATGCATAATTTCTTTGTCTTTGTTTACATTGGTACAAGAATCAAGCATCTAGGAGATAAATGTCTGGCTATTTTTCACATATTTCATGAAGCAATGCAATTAACCAGTTTGTTTGTGGCATCTGATTCACTCTTGTTTGTCATTATGTTTGTGTTTCATCCTAACAGTATTTAAATTAATTTTTGCAGATATGCTGCTGGATGATCTTCTCATTGCAGAAAATTCACCATTTCAGTCTGAAATTAACTCGCCTATATTAAACTCTGAGAAAGTATCACCTATGGTGAGTGCAAAAACAAATCAATCAAGTGCAAGTTCTTATGTATCACCACCTTCAGATGGCAGAATGGAGATTCCTTCTGGTGGCTTAAGGTTTTATATCCAATAGCTTACTCCTTGTCTATTATTTGGTAAACTTATTTTGACTCAGAACAATTTTACAGAAAGTGCATTTTTTCCCATTTCTACCAGCATGGACAAGAATTCTATTGAGAAGTTGGTGGCAGCTTCAACTGCTGAAGCTGAGGCTGTCAGTGCTGTCTGGCAAACCATGAAGTTAACATCTGCAGTTCCTGTAGAAGAAGCACCTGTGTCAGATAGCAACTTGAATGTCCCAGAGCACTCCTCAGATGGTAGTGATAACGAGGCTGATGTCCGCCTTCACTCTAGAGCTGTATGTATCTTTCCTTACCATTTATATATCTAGAATTTCCATCATTTTCAAGTTAAAAGTACTTAATGATCCTGATGTTACAGGTTGTGGTTGCGAAAGAGACTGTTGGCAACCTAGGGGGTCTGGTAAGGCAGCTGTCCTTGGATCAGTTTGAAAATGAGAGCAGACGAATGGTCCCCACAAGCAGTGATCCATCATATCCTACTAAAAAGTTCTTCACTAGACAGAGGTCCCCTCAGGGGTTGCATAAGAAGGTAAGCATTATTAGAACTCTTGGCTCTTTTTTTTTTTTAATTATTGTATGTTAATTGCAGTTGGTTTATTGTCATTTATTCTATTGCAGATCATTTCTTTTCTACTTAGGCCACGGAACTGGAAAGCTCCTGCTAATAGGAGATTTTTCCTAGACTCTTATGAAGTGGGTGAGCTTTGCTATGCTGCTGAGCAGATCTTCATGCAAGAGCCAACAGTTCTGCAATTGAAGGCTCCAGTTAAAGTATTTGGTGATCTTCATGGACAGTTTGGTGATTTAATGCGCTTATTTGATGAATATGGATTTCCTTCAACTGCTGGAGACATAACGTGCGTATGACTATAGGAAACAAACTGAGCCAATAGTCTCTCTCTCTCTCTCTCTCTCTCTCTCTCTTAAAAAGGAAAGAAAGAAAAAAAAATTGACTCAATAGCCTCGCAGATAGCCTGGCAAAGGCAGGAGGTTAACAGAATTCATATGTATTGGGGTTTAATTCCCCAAGGTAGGAGCTTTTAATCTATTTTGTGCTGGCTGGCCTTAAGGAGTTCTTGACACATTATCCTTACATATAATCTGTTCATATGTTAATAAAAATCATTAACTGTATACTATGTTAGTGCACAAGGGCAGCAGTTATTTGGGGCTTGTGAATTGAGAGAAATGTAAGAATTTTCAAAAACAAAGAAGTGGAAGATTTATTGATCTTATTATGGTAAGGGTAGCACAAGATTAGAATGTGGTTTATTTGGAGTTGGACCTGCTAAGGAGGTGAAGAAATCAAAGAAAATTTGTAGCAGTGAGGTTCCAAAATAAGATTGTGGATTTTTTTAATAATTTGTACTATTCTTTGTAGGGTGCTTTGTTAGTCTTGTCTGGTTTAGTGGGGGTTGGTTTTTATTTGGTGTTGTGTTGGGTAGGTAGGCTATCATATGATGGTGGGTTGGTTTTCTTGTTTGTTTGGTTTTTCTAGTTTGATGAGTTTTTTTTAGAGGCTGGTGTTGGTTTGTGGAAGATGAAGTGTTATTTCCTTTTTTTTTAGAGGCTAGTTTGGTCACCTTCTTGTATTCTCTCCTTTTCCTTCTAATAAAATTTAATTTTATTATAAAAGAATCAGGAATCAGCAAAGGCAGGAAGTGTGGAGTCCTCTGGCTGTAGGCAGATTAAAACTCAATTTTGACGGCTGTTGTCTTGGTAATCCAGGACAGTCTGGGGTGGGGGTTGTTGTAAGAGACCATAACAGCAATATTGTGGGATGAATTGGACAAGGTAATGCTGAAGGGCAGAATTAATGGCACTAAACCAAGGCCTAGATCTGTTGAGCAGGAATTGGATGAAAGATGTTGACGTGGAAGGCTACTGTCAAACCATAATCTTGTGGATGAAGATAAAAGCGGAGGTCCCATGGGGATTTGGATCTTTGGTTAGCAAGGTATGAATCCTAGGTAAGAGTTTGAATAGCTTGTTCAACTTGATTCCTACGAGTGCAATTGTTTTGGCTGATTCTTTAGCAAGAGCAGGAGCTATAAGGGATCATTTGGAATGGGGTCTATCAGGGCCAGGAGTTAATTTGTAACACATCTTCCTTGTTATGGATTATTGAACCATGGCAAGGAAGAGGCCACATTGAGTTATCTTTTGTTCACCAATCCTAAGTGCAGCCTGATTTGCACTCCTATTATTATTAAATTTACATTGCATATGTTTTGTTCTAGTCCTACTTATTTTAAAACCTCCTGCTTCTAAGGTATCTGTCCATAAACCTCACTTTGCATTTAGTCTTTTTTTGGTTTCGTCAATTAATACCATGTCATCAGCAAACAACAAGCACCATGGAAATTCCTCTTGAATATGTTTAGTCAATTCATCCATGACTGGTGCAAATAAACAAGGCTTAATGTTAAGCCTTGGGGGAAGACCCAACAACTAAAAAAAATCTAATGTCTTTCCCACAAGAATTTTAATATCAGTTGTTGTGTTCTCATACATATCCTTAATTAGGTCAACAGATCCATTTGTCCATCCTTTTCCAAAACTGATCACATTATCTCTCTAGGACTGTATAATAAACTTTAATTAAATTGATTCTCCATTTCCTAAAACCATGGACATGGATACAGGTAGGGATGTAGGGTATCTCATGAAATATGCTTGTATCATATGTTTATGTCTACATTGTGAAGGAAGCTAAATGTCATTTTCAAGACTTATGTCTTGCCAAGTTTAATTAAATTTCTAATATGTGCAGGTCCTTTTATGATATAATTTGTTAAAACTTTCCATTTTACATACTTCAAATGTGTTAATGCTATAAAGTACATCTAGAAGTATCCATGGAGTTAATTATCAAAAAAAAAGTATCCATGGAGTATTGAATACCATATCTGACATTGGTATGCTAGGCATGTGTAATAAGTATCTTGGCATCATAGGTACAATGCTAAGTTCCTTTTCTTTGAGCAATAGATTGCATACTTGAGCTTGGATTCAAGGACTCCAATTGTTTTGGAGGTTCAGCAGAGGCCTCAATATCTTTTCCCTTTTTAGCCCATTGAGAATAAACTTCAAGGATCTTTTACAACATCAAAGATTGGGATACTGGGTAGGGGAAGAGACATTGGTTAGGTGTAGAGGTTCCAACAAACTCTCCCCTTGAAGAGATGCAGTAGAAAAATATGGAGTGGACTAGAAAAGGTAATCTCCATAGTAACAAAGTGTTAACCAAACACATTATCAAGACACTTGTACCCTTTTTGAATAGAAGAATACCATAAAAAAACATCCCACAAATCATCTTGGGTAACACATCCATATGCTACTATCTTTAGCCTTAAAAATAAAGTTTCAAAAAAATAACAATGTTACATTGAAGTGCCTAAGCACCCTGATATGTGGCCTAGTCCCTGCTAGCCACTCTTCTACTTTTACAACTTCCCAATTTTTTATTAAAATTTACGATATTTGATAGTAATCTGATATTTCTCCATGGAATTGTTGTTCAGCAGCCATAAATTTGATGTTTCAGGTATATTGACTATTTGTTTTTGGGGGATTATGTTGATCGCGGACAGCACAGCTTGGAGACTATAACCTTACTTCTAGCTCTTAAGGCAAGTTTATTCCATTTCAAGTAGTGTTCCAGGTTGCACTTTTTGTTGATTGCATTCACTTTTTTCCTTGGCTCTGGTTTTTGCAGATTGAATATCCTGAAAATGTTCACTTAATCCGTGGGAACCATGAGGCCGCTGACATAAATGCACTTTTTGGTTTCCGTCTCGAATGCATTGAGAGAATGGTACTACAAGTATTCATGTTTTTTTTTTGTCTGAATTGAAAGCCAGAATTAGCAATACTGAGCAAAGATGTTTTTTTTTGTAGGGAGAGAGTGATGGGATATGGGCATGGACACGATTCAATCAGCTTTTCAACTTTCTTCCACTTGCCGCACTTATTGAGAAGAAAATTATCTGCATGCATGGTGGCATTGGAAGGTCGATCCACTCTGTAGAACAAATAGAGAAACTTGAAAGACCTATAACAATGGATACAGGGTCTATCATTCTAATGGACCTTCTATGGTATTTTATTTTTTTAACTTTAGTCCTCTCTGCACATTGACATTTTTTGTGTTATATATAATTAGCTTACTGCAAATGTTTGCTATACCTTGCAGGTCTGATCCCACAGAAAATGATAGTATAGAGGGTTTGAGACCAAATGCTAGGGGACCTGGTCTTGTCACTTTTGGAGTATGCTGTCTCTCAATCCATTGAACTTCTTTAAGTGCATTTTTGCCTCTCTCTCTCTCTCTCTCTCTCTCTCTCTCTCCCTCTTGCTGAGAACTGAAACTGCAATATCTAAATCCAAAATATATCCATAATTTGAACTTTTATGGTATCATACATATTGTTCTCTATCATTCAATACATAAAAATTGCCTTAGATATATGGATGGAACCTATTATTGATATCTAAGTATCATTTATTTAATTCTTCATCATCATCATCATCATCTAAACCTCATCCCAACTATATGGGGTCAGCTACATGAATCCAATTTTGCCATTCCATTCTGTTTAATGCCACTTCTATTGTTAAATTATGAGTGAGTAGACGTTCAGGACTGTTATCAGTCTTGAACCCTAATGGATTTCAGGTTCGAAAATAAGAAAAAAGGTATTGAGAAGAGAAGAGAAAGTGGGAGGAAAGAGCAGTAGAACACAAGAGTTGAAAGGATGAACAAAAG